GACGTTCCCTAACATGGCCCCGTCCTAGAAACCCAGAACCTCTTACCTAGGACATCGAAAGCTGGAAGCACGTCAAACTCCATTTTTTCGCCCATGGCGGTGGAGGTGAGGGAGAAAGTGAGCACACGGGGGTTCTTCCATTTTGTTTCCTTAATTTCCAGCTCTATGTTTTTTCCCAGGGAAGATCCACATTCCTCCAGCCGGGCCTCGATTTCGGCAATGATTTCCTTCCGTTTGTCTCTCAGGTCCTGGAAACTCTCCACCAAACTGACAAACACGACCAGGTCCACGTCGGACATTTTCTTAAGGGCTTTGCCCTTCCCCGAGGAGCCAGCCTGGGGGAAGGGAGAAAGGGCATCAAATTACAGAATCCGAGGGTGGGAAGAGACGAACCCGTGGGCAAAGCAAGACCAACCCGACTAGGGCTTGGTCAAGCCGGGCCTTCAAACTGTGGAGGCAGGAGAAGGGAATAAAGGAATTTGTGTGCAGCTTCCACAGAGAGCTGCTCGGGCCCATGCAAACTTCATAAGAACATAACTTTGCTCAGACCCAAGGTCCATCCAGCCCAGTGTCCTGTCTGCCGACAGTGGCTAATGCCCAGAAGGAAGGAACAGAACCGGGAATCATCAAGTGATCCCACCGCTGCCACCAATTCCCAGCCTCTGACAGACAGAGGCTAGGGACAGCATTCCCACCCATCCTGGCTAACAGCCATGAGCGGATCTATCCTCTATGAATCTACCTAGCTCTTTTTGGAACCCTGGCCTTCAGCACCTCCTCTGGCAAGGAGTTCCACAGGTTGACGTTGCGCTGCACAATGGCCTTTTGTTTGTTTGAACCCTGCGGCCTAGTCATTTCACTTGGTGACCCCTCGTTCTTATGTTGTGGGAACAAGTCCATCGCGTTTCCTTCTTCACTTCCTCCACACCTGTCATGATTTTACAGACCTCAACCCTATCGCCCTTTAGTCTTCTCTTTTCCAAGCGGAAAAGTCCCCGTCTTTTTCATCTCTTTTCCTACGGGACCCCGAATCATTTTGGTTGCCCCGTTTGGGAACCTTTTCCAGTGTCGACAGGTCTTTGGAGAGACGAGGTGGCCACATGTGGACGCAGCGTTCACGATGTAATTCCAGGAACACCCCTTCTCCGCGTAGGTGTCTAGAGGCTGTGGAGCTAACTGTGATCGGCTTTGGCTAGAATTGGGGTTACATACCCCTTAGGGTGCACCCCATCTGTTTCCAAATTCTGGAGGGCCCCTAGCTCAGCACTGTTCCAAAAAAAATCCAACCAAGGGATACTCTGGATGTGACCAATTGCCCTCCCTGCTGTCTAGGGGCTGGCCAGCATGGGGCACAAGGCCTACCTAGGGGGATTGGGCACATCGTCTCAAGAGAAACAGCTAGGGTCCCACCTGGGAACCAGCCCCACCTCCCCTCTGGCTGACCCCTTCCCGGCAGACGCAGGGACTCAAAGCCCCTTCTCTCTCGTGCTCACCTTAACCACCTTCAGGACCCGCATCCGGGAGCCAGCACCTTTGAAGCAGTTTTGGGTCAGAACGTCGAAGATGAATTTAATGGCGCTGTTGATCTGGGTCTTGAAAGTTTTGTTGGGCTGCAGGCTGCTGCCGGTGA